CAAGGGACTGAGTTCAATCCCCAGTTCTGCAAAAAAAAAAAAAAAGAGGATGGGGATGTATACAGGGCAGGCAGGTCTACACATGCCTGCAGCATGCAGACACACACACACACACACACACACACACACACACACACATATTTTTCTTGGAATTGTGTCTCTCAACCCTCCTGGGTGTGGGCTGAGCCTTTCTTCTGTTACTCTTCAGAACCCCAGGCCGGAGGCAGGAGGGGTCCCGGAGCTCTGGGTGAGCTGAGCTGGGCTGGCAATGTTTATTCTGGCTGCCAGAGTTGGGTGAAAACACAGCCTGGAGCGGAGAATGGGAATGTGGCAGGAGCATGCACGTGTGCGACATGCATGTTTGTGGTTTGTCCTGAGCATAGGAATGGGCCCCAGTTGTAGCTGTGTCACTTGAGAGAGCTTGGCTGAGATCAGAAGGTACCTGGTGGTCCTCACCTGCCTCCTTCCCCTGGGTCAGTCAAATAGTTCTAAACCAGGATGTGGTTTGGGGTTGGCAAGAAATCCAAGCTGTGCTGCTTATTAGGCAGGTGACCTACCACTCAGAGCCTTGGTTTTGTCATCCCAAAGGTAGGAATGTGGCCTCTACTGGAATGGTATCTTTGCAGGGCCTGGTCCATGGCCTGGCAGGGGAACATTCTGGGTGGTTTTGGGCTCCTTCCCTCTGGCTTCATGTCCTCAGAGACCATGCTCTGTGTGGCAGGCTGGAACCTGAGTGGAGGGGGGACACAGCTGGGGTGGTGGTTGCTCTAGGTCATTCCCCTCTACCTAAGTTGTGAGCCTTTTCTAGAGGGGCTTTGTGGACCATCCAGGCTCTGTCACAACAATTACCTCTGCTATTACAGTCTGAAAACTGCCAAGGATGATGCGCAGATGAGCTCGTGCCTGGGCTCCTGCAGAATTCTGTGTATAGCCCTTGGAATGCTGGAATGTGAATTTCACGCAATCGCCACACACCACAAACTGCTCAGCGAGACATGTCAAGACCACTGTCTGACTTGTGGGCTGCCAGGAAAAAGCCAGATGGGATCCTGGGGCTGCTGTGGGCTGGTGTCTCCCCTGCAAGACCTCAAAGGGCCAAGAGACTACAGACAGTCACATCCTCCATGGAGAGAAGCCCAGGTCAGAACCTGCTTTCCAGGAATCCATTCCTGGGACTGACTCAAGGCTGGGCCCACTGCCAGAAGTGGGCCACGAAAGGGCCACTAAGGAGACCAGATTTCATTGAGAGATTTTAAAAAATATGACGTGAGAGTCTGCTGTGGTTTGAATGTCTTCCCCTGAACTTGCATTGACATTTAATCTGCATTGTGAGGCACGAGAGGATGAAACAATCTGATGATTCCCTGAGAAGAAGGGACCTTCAGGAGGTGACTAAGGATAAAGGAGTCTGTAAGGTAGGGCCCCACCCTGTGGGCTGCGGGTTTACAAGAAAAGAAGCCAGATATGGTGTATACATGTCACCCTTGCTGCTTGAGAGTCCGAGATGGGAGATTGCTTGAACCTAGGAGTTTGGGGTTGGCAAAGGCCACAGAGTGAGACTTTGTTCCCTGTAAAAGGAGGACGAGGAAGAGGAGCAGGAAGAGGGGAGGAGATATACAGCCCTTCTCACCATGTGAGGATCCATGCTAATTTGGGACTCTGTAGTGTCCCATGGCCAGGAAGAACCTTACCAGATTCAGCTGCCTGATCTTGATCTTCAGCCCGAGTCTGGTAAATGTCTTTTCCTTGGGCTGGGGAGATGGCTCAGTGGAATAAGTGCTTCCCTGGCAAGCACAAGGGCCTGAGTTCAATCCCTGATTCCACCAAAAAAAAAAAAAAAAAAAAGTCTTTTCCTTATCCAGTTTAGGGTTTTCAGTTATAGCCACAGAAAACGGACCAGTGCCGAGTGACATGAATGAAGCCTTCAGCCCTGTCTAGGCTCTGTTCAGTGACTACCAACTCGGGCGCCATTCCCAGGTCCTTCAGGCCGTGTTGTACTTAGGCCTAGCGGGTGAGGACCCTGAGAGCCTCAGATGGGGAGCAGCTGGCCCAAGGCCCCAGGCTGTCAGTGGCAAAGCTGGAGTCAGAATCTTGGGGGTCACACTTGGAATCCTGCACCTAAACTTGGCTACTTCCAGACAATAGGCTCCTCACAGGATTTATGGTATTTGCATTTATTATGTGGGGTCTCAAATAGCAAGGTAGTGAGTCAGATGGAGCTGCATGTCTTTCCACGTGCATCCCGGATGCTCAGCCACCTGTTTCTTCTGCGACATCATCAGTGTGATGGCTTTTAGCAGGCATGGAAGTGGGCAGTGCTGCCTGCAGGCCAGGTACCACTCCACAGCAGCTCGGCTGAAAAGCCCTGTCACAAGCCCATAATCTCAGCATGCAGAGGGCCGATGCAGGAGTATCTCAGTGAGTTCAAAGCCAGTCTGAACTATATATCGAGGCCCTGTCAATGTCCTATTGTATGTTGCTCCAATCAGTCTATGAAAACAAACATAACACAGCCAGAGGGAAGCACATGCATTATTATTATTATTATTATTATTATTATTATTATAATATTATTTTTGGTGGAACCAGGGATTGAACTCTGTCCACTGTGCTTGCCAGGCAGGCACTTATTCAACTGAGCCATCTCCCTGGCCTGCACATGTATTTGTAATATGAAAAGTATGTCTCAGGCTGGGAGTGTAGTTCAATGTTAGAGCTCCCAGCTAGTGCCCACAAGGCCCTAGGCTTCATCTCCAAAATATGCAAACCGAGGCAAACGATAACCAAAACACAAACCAAGAGAACCTTCAAGAAAACCAGACCCAGAAAGTGCTAAATGGGGCATGCTTATAATCCAGGCAACTTGGGAGGCTGAGGCAGGAGGATCACAGGTTTGAGGCCAGCCTCGGCAATTTATCAAGATCTCATCTCAAAGTGAAAAGGCGTAGGGTTGTAGATCAGAGAGAAAACACATGCCTAGCACGTGCAAGGTTCTGGGTTCAATTCCCAGTACTGACAAAAGAAAAAGCTTAAGTCTCAGACTCCATAAACTTGATAATCATTTTACTGTGTACTGAGCATTTCCCAGGTACCACCTCAAGTGCTTCATTTGGATCATCTCACTTAGCTTAAATCAGTCAGTGTTTACACAAGACATAGATCTACAAATATGTAGACGTACAAATATGTGAGGATTTACAGAGTGGCTTATGATGGCTGCCCAGAGTCGGGTGTGGAAGGCGCCAGAGGTCTGTCTGTGCACTGCAGCTTCGAGGGATCCAGTGGGAGGCCTGGGGCTCCATGGAGGGTCCTGTGTGAGTTCCTGCCCTGAGGCCTAAGGGTTGGCCCCAGAAGGTTGTGGAATCTGCGCTGGAAGCCAGCAGAGGATGTCTAAGGTGAAGCAAAGACCGGAGTTTCTGGGAAGGAGGCAGAAGAAAGCAATCCTTTGTTTCCTTTTGTGGCATTCTGGCGACAATCCTCCCTGAAGTGGACCCTGTACACCCTGAACTATGCAGAGCCAATTCAGTTGGACATCGTTCACTCAAGTTGACCTCATCAGTCAACCATTATGTAGCCCTAACACCCCCTGCCAAGGGACACGGTGGCCACCCCCATTTAACAGATGAGAAAGCAGAGATAGAGAGCAGGGACAACTTCTACAAGTCGTGCAGGTTTAAGTGGTGGTGATGGGCCACAGAAGGAACCAGTCTAGTCCTCTGGAAGTTGAGAATCTATAGCATCTGTCAGCTGCTTGCTGGGCCTACAGCAGGCCACCAGGAAGGAAACCAACAGCAACAAAAACGAAAAACATGTGCGTGACGTTGACAAGAGATGGCATCGCTAGGACTGCAGCCTGGAGAGCAACGTGTAATCTGGCGTTTTATCCTTGGAAAGAATTGCATTCCGTTTTCCATCACGGTAATGAAATACCTGAGGTGGGTAACTTAGGTGTGCTTTGATTCGCAGTTTGGAGGTGCCAGGCAGAGATGAGTGGGAGGATGGCGCTGGGCCTCGGGGAGAGCCGTGTCACCATGTGGGAGTGTGGTGGGTGGTCCTGGGAGCGGTGTACAGGAATAAGACACAACCACGGTCCCACGATCATCTCCAAGGGTGTATCCCCAGCACCCTAAGGACTACCCACCTCTCAAAGGATCTGTTGTCTGTCACTAGCAGCACCCTGAGTACCAAGCTTTTCCCCACAGACTTTGGGGGCCACTCCTGCAAACTGCAGCAGGAGCCCATGTCCCTATATTCACAGCAGTGAAAATATGAGGGTATGAAACCGCGTCACCAGTATGGCTCCAGTTTTGGAAAAGTGAAAGCCTGAAGTACAAGTTCCTACTTATTCGCCTACCATTTGCTTGGGGCTGTGTCGTGTGCAAGGCATTACACTAATATTCCCTGAATTTAATATCATTTTATCAAAACAACATCCCGGAACTAGGATCCATGGCCTGGTTTTATAGCTGTGGAATGAGAGGTTGAACAACCTGGCCAAGCTCACAAACCAGGATGGTGTAAGAATGTGGCTCGGGTTTGCTTCAAAGCTCATCCTTGCTGCTCTGGACTTTGCTTCCTGCCCAGAAAGTTCATTTGCCTCTGTCTCTCTTTGTGAGCACACGCATGCGCACACACGTGCACACGCACACGCAGGTATGCACGCACTCACACACACACATGCACACCCACCTGCACACAAGAAAAAAATCAGTAAAGAAACTCATCAGAATGGTATGCATGAGATAAGGTTTCATTTTACTGTCTTTTCACATACACTCAGTGCTTTATAATGAATTTTGGTTAAGAAAAATCCACTTAGTGATCTTTTTGTTGAGTTGCACTGTCTTAGCTCTAGCAGGACATGGAAGTCCTGGTGTGAGGTGCCGAATTCCTGACCGGGGTCATCTAGAAAAATTCTCCTAAAAAATAAGACTGAGAAGGAGCCAGGACTTTTGCCTCTTGGAATTGCCTAATCCATCCTATAATGCCTTGCTTTGTAGGAAAATTGTGTGCATAAATCCCATAAAATCCCGCGATGTGGAGCCGACGCTGAGCTTACCCAGAACAAAATCTGCTAATGATCGCCGCTTGCCAGGAGCCCACAGAAAAACCATCAGACGTGTCGCAACCCCCCGCCTGCCTCCTGCCTGAGTCCGTTCTAATAAGGCCTCTTTTCATAAGTTTATAAAAACACTTTGTTTGGATTGCATTGGGCCTTTACTTCATCTTAGTTGAATGCTGACCATTTGTGGGGCCAAAGGGGCTGTGACCAACCCTAAGTTTTCAGACCCAGAGAAAACAACAGGTTTGTAGAAGCAGCGGTGGTTACCTCCCTCCACTGTGCTCCCAGGAGCTGCAGAGGAGGCTGCTTAGGGTGGTGAGGGTGGCAGCTGGGACACAGAGAGTGAACAGTGGCTGCCCTGCCTTCAGGGATGCCTGAAAGTGGGCGCTGCTTTTGAAAATCCTGAAAGGATTTTGGGCAAGAGAGCTGAGCATGCCATGCCCCGTCTCCTCAGGTTGGAGAGGAAGGCTGTCTTTCTTGTCTCGCAGGCATCTTATTAAGACCACGGACACTGCGTGACCCTTGATGGGCATAGGATTTGTCTTTTTCTTCCTTCCCTGACACTGTGTTATTTCTCTCTGGATAGCAGCCTGTGGCCTACTATGTGGAAAGGTTTTTGAAGTGTAAATCTGAAAAGACAGCAAGGTTGCAAACATGGAGCCAAGAATTCCTGCACACTCTTTACCCTTATATTATTTTACATTTGCTTTATGGGCCTGCCCATTCCTTATCCGTCCGTCCGTCCGTCCGTCCGTCCGTCCGTCCATCCATCTATCCATCCATCATCTATCCATTTATACATCTGTAACCTAACTCGCCTCCCCTTGCCTTTTTCCTCCCCTTCCTCCATCCCTCTTTTCCTTCCACTGTTTTCTCCCTCCCGCCCTCCCCCACTTCCTCTTCCCTCCCTCTGTCCCTCCCTCTCCCCTCCCTCCCTCCCCACTTCTCTTCCTCCCTTCCTCCCTCCCCTTTCCCTCCCTGGCTCCCCCTCCCTTCCACTCCTTCTCTTCCTCCCTCCCCTCCCCTCTCCCTTCCACCAAAGCTTTCTCTTCCTCCCTCCCTCCCCCTTCTCTTCTTCCCTCCCTCCTTCCCTCCCCCTCCCTCCCCCCCCTTCCCTTCCTCTCTCCCTCCCTTCCAGAAAGGATTTAGCCATGTATCCCAACTGGCATCGGAGCTGCTTGTTTCTGCCTCAGCCTCCTCAGTACTAGGATTACAGGTGTGCACTTAAGACCTTTTTTTCTAAGAGTACATTTTGGAATTAACTGCCTGAAAGTCACAAGTACTTCAGTGCATATTTCTTAAAATCAAGGGCTTTTTATTACATGCTGTAACACTTTTATCAAAATCAGGAAATTGACCTTGATACATAATCTAGTGACCTTGCTCACATTTCACCAGTTGTGCCTCTGACAACTTTTTTTAACCCAAGAAAAACATATTCTTCTCTGGCCCAGGAGCCAGGCAAGAGCACGTGTGTCACTTAATTGTCACACTTCTTTTTACTCCTTTAATCTGGTCTTCTGTTTCTCTGGTCTTTTGTGACCTTGACATTTTAGAAAAGCACAGGTTTTTGAAGCCTATATTGCTTTCCTCAAAATTCAAACATTGACGTCTTAGCCCTTGTTATCTCAGAATGTTACTGTATGGAGTGACAGAATCTTTAGAGAAGGGGTTAGGTAAAACTGGCAGTTTCCATCGCCAGGTATACTTTGCAGAAGAGGAATTTGGACAAACAGAGGCAGGGTGTGTGTCTACAGCGGAAAGACCACGTGAACATGCAGGAGGAAGATCATTGGGAGCCCAAGACAGAGGTCTGTCTTTCTATGTCTGTCTGTCTATCTATCTATGTATCTATCATTTATCTATCTCTGAGTTCAGTTCACTGAGAACCACTTTTTTTCTTCCCGGATGGGGGTTTGAACTAAGGGATGCTGAACCACTGAGCTACATTCCCAGTCATTTTTACTTTAGTTTGAAATGGGGTTCTTGCTCAGTTGCCCAGGGATGGCCTTGAACTTGGATCCTCCAACCTCAGTCTCTTGAGTAGCTGGCATTTCAGGCTTGTGTCACCATGCCTGGCCACTCAACTTCACTTCTAATGAAGCTATTTTTTCTTTTCTTTTCTTTTCTTTCTTTCTTTCTTTCTTTCTTTCTTTCTTTCTTTCTTTCTTTTTTTTTTTTTTTGGGCGGTACTGGGGATTGAACTCGTGACCTTCAATTTGCCACGCAGGCACTTATTCTACTGAGCTATCTCCCCAGCCTAATGAAGCTATTCTTGGAAGTACCCCTTCCTTTCCACCCAGAATTGGCCCTTCTCCCCTCTTTTGAACTTATTAGAATAAAAATAACTATGACTTATAGGGTGTCTACCCTATGTTTGTTTTTGCTCAAGGAAATTCATTTATTTGTGCTGGGAATTGAACCCAGGGCTTGATGCATGCTAGGCAAATGCCCTCCTGGGCAGCTACCTTGCCAGATCTTAGGGATTTATAACCCACTGAACACTTATAACCCATGGCAAGGGTCAGGTACCAACCCAGTTATACAGATAAAGACACAGAAGGCAAAGAGGTGGCATCATCTGTTCAACCTTGAATCAGGTTGGAAACTTCTTCAGGGTGGCGACCAGGTGGGTTTTGTTATTGCGTGACCAGGGCAGTTAAAGAGGCCCCTACACTTAGAAGTTCCCAGCATGTAGTGTCGCGCTCTGCTGTGGGTGTCTGGCAATGCTTAATAAGTTTTGAATGAGGGGCCTGCACTTTTATTTTTCTCTGGGTCCTGCAAATGTTACAGTTGGTTCTGCATCTTATCCTGGAGACCTTGAATTCTTAAGGCTTTGCAGCCAATGAACATCATTCACGGGACCATGGAAGCACATACTTAATTGCGCACAGAGCGCCACTCTCCAGCCCAGAGACTAAGTCGAGGGCAGCAATAGTGCCTGAATCCTTTTGTGCCCTTGGTCTCCATCACAGAGCCTGGCGCAGAGATGCGTGAGAAGTTCTGATGAGCGAAATGGACTCAGGAACCAAAGTTGATTCAAGCAAGACGAAGGAGGCCCAGGTGCCCGTGGAGGTGGGTGTGTTCCGAGGCTGGCCCGAGAGCAAAGCAGACTTGCCCTGCTTGTCTTGCTTCTGCTGCCAAAGCCTCTGTCTGAGACCAGCTTCTTGTCTGTGTCCTTTACAGTCAGGAGAAGGATGGTGGGAGGCGCTGGCAAGAAAGGCTGCAGGGAACAGAGGCTTCTATTGCGGCTGGAGCTGGGGCACTTATGGAGCAGGACAGTGTCTGCTGTTTTGCATAAGAGCAGGAAGCCAGGCTGGAGCAGCTTCATCTGTGGACTCACAGATGCTCCTGCTCCCGTACAGCTCAGCTTTCCATGAGCTCTTTTGTAATGTTCAGACGTCACCAGAAAGCTCCGGAACAGCGGGCTAGCATATGGCCGTCTCCATGTTTGCTTGCTAAAAGGCAAAATGACAAACCTACGTTCCTAGATCTCAGTGGGCATTACTTGTGATTCTGGAAGCAGGCGGGAGTCTGCACCAAGAGTGGCTCAGCATGCTTTGCTCCGCCAGATGGCAGACTTCCCGGAAGTGACATGTAGGTCACAGAAGGGAGATGCAGTACACGTCAGTCTTACTTGAACATGGCTTCAGCGGCTGGCTGCTTGTGATTGGGTGAGGCTCAGCTGCTTGTCACAGAGGCAGGTCACTGAGCTAGGATGCGGCTCAGTGGCAGAGCACTTGCCTCACGTGTAGCTTCCCTCCTTGCACAGTAGGCTGTGGTCTGCTTACTCATGAAGTCAGGTTGCAGTTCACTGTGTATGGAGAACACTTCAGGCCAAACTTAAAAATTGATGGGGGCAGTTTTAGGCCAACTTAACATCTTGAAGGCAGAGATGTTAAGTTGGCCTGAAACTCACTCCCACCTTTTGTGCTCACCCCATCCCTCAGCTTCTAATGAATCTAAAAGGATGCTTTTGGGTTACCTTCACAAAAACTGATCCTCGAGATGGTGAGGTCATAGATATTGAACATAACTACTTCCCATCCCGGTAGGCAAGACTGCAGTGCACCCAGCCTTCAAGAACAATAGATCTACAAGTCTCAGCTTTCACTTCTTCGGGTCTCTGCCCTACACCACTCTTCAGGAAGTCTCTGTTAACACAGCAACACCACCTCCATTATCTTGCAGCCCATCTCTACCAATCTTCTCTGTGGCACTTCAAACCAACTTGCTTTATTTAAATTATTACCATTGCTGTATGGCTTCTATCATTGAATTTATCCCACTACCTAGAACAGGGTCCATTTAGCATCAATTACTCAACCAATATTTGTTGGTAAATAAATTCCCATGGTATAAGGGGAGAAGATAAGGCTTGGGAAGGTTAGATCTCCAGGGCAAGGCCAGGCAGCAGATGAGATACAGTAAATCTTTTATTAAACACCCATGGGGCTTCCCAGGGTTAGCCATGGTATTTCCAGCTGGGCATGGTGGTGTATGCCCCTGCAGTCTCATTTACTCAAAAGACTGTGGCAGGCAGATTGTTTGAGCTCAGGAGTTTAAGTTCAACCTGGGCTACACAGTGAGTTCCTGTCTCACAGCAATGTAACAGAAAAGAATGTAACAGAAGAGTGTTTCTTAGACAGCCAAGAAGCTCCTGATTCTCCCCTTTCTTGTGATAACTGGGAGATGGTATGGGTGGCCAGTGACTGGCAAACCCCTTCCCCCACTTCCCTGTCCCTCCACAGTCCTGAGCTGGAACAGCTTACCCCAGTGACCTCCTGTCACCTCAGTGTTACTTCACAGCTACTCTCTGGGTCACCCTGACAGGAGATGTTACTTGGTTGTCCGCTGCAGTACCCCTCCTCCACTCCGGCCACTCTGGCTGTTGCTGCTGTCTCTCTGAAGAAGTAGCCAGGAGACTTCTGGGAGATTGTCACTACTGTGGCAAAGATCTGGGTCACATCCCCAATACCTCTGAACCCCAATAAGCTGTGACTAAAACAGCTGGCTCTCCTGAAGTTTCCCTGGTTTCGTCCTTTCCAATTTGTGCAGTGGTGCGACAGCTGTCAGTCAAATAGCTATGTTCCCCAACATTCTGCCCACTGTTGGCATGACAGCCTGTGTCCATCCTGGGACTGTCTATGCTGACTGAAGTGGGCTTGAATTTGAACTAAATAATGGAACTGAATTTGAAATCCAATCAGTAGGCTGGGATCAGAAGGCTTGAGTGCAGACCAAGAGGGACCAGTTACAGGCCAGCTGCTGCTCTATAAGCATGACACTGGGGGCTGGTGAGATGGCTCAGTGGTCTAAAGCACCTACTTGGAACAAGCTCGGCAAAGTACAGGGACCGCGGTTCAATCCCCCAGCACCACATGCCAGCCAGCCGCGCCCCCTGGTGGGCTGAGCTGGCCACACACACACACACACACACACACACACATAAATAAATAAAAAATTAAAAAAAAACATGACACTGTCACTTCGTGGGTTGGTCTAGGAGGGCTCCCTCTTGGGTTGGTGCTCCTCTCATGCTGTGGCACAGGCCCTGTCAAAGCCTTGCTTGGTGGTCCTGTTAATATACTCGTCATTTATTTCTCAGGTGGAGTGGATTCTGAAATTCCTAGAAACGGACATGGGATACTTATTCTGAGTATTTGGACAGAGTGTCACTTTGGGAAAAACGTCAGGCCTGTTAGCTCTAAAGACAAGCAGCCAACAAAGATCAGCAACAGAGACCAGCAACTGGAAGAACTGCCTGCCACATGGCATCTAGCATTAGCCAGTATTGATCATCGGCAGCAGCTGGCAATGCAGAGACCTGCAACTGGCAGAATCAATAGACAGTGTCTGGCATTTGCTGGGCCCAACCAGTGGGACTGGGGCCCAGTGGTGTAGCATCAAGGCCCAGGGGCACTAGCAGAGCTGCATTTCACCAATACCTGATTGTTATCTGAACGAAAGAACCCTCAGCTGATAGATGACAATTGGTGACCACAGGAGCCACCTCCTTTTTGAGGTTCTCCAGAAAGAGTACAGACAATGGTGATGATTGGTACAGAGTTGCCTCATAAGTGACAGGTGGTCCCTTGAACCTTTTGCTTCAGTGTCATCATCTATGCCTGGTGAGGTCTAGTGCTGGCTGTCCTTGCAATGTGGGCCCCCAACCCCACCCCGTGGTGCTCCCAACTGCCCTCGCTGCCTGTGTGTTTTGTACTGCAGCCAGTTGTCAATCGCTCTCTCTGCCTCCTTTTTTTTTTTTTTTTTTTTTTGGTCTTACTAGACAGCTTTCTTCTTTATTTCCTGATTAAGGCTTCTCAGCATATCAAAACTCTTCTTTCAGGTGTCTTGAAAATAAATGTGACTGAAATGAATCAAAATGGGCTAAGGTTTTGGAGCATCTACAACTGGCTATATGCTGTGTGGGAAGCTACCATCCATGTTCATGTAATAAGCTGTCCTCTGGGGAAGCAACATGAGACCACATAATGTTTTGCTGTCACAGGTAGACATCTGTAGGAGGGCAGGTTGAAGCTGTGGACACTGCTTAATCACCTAGAGTTAATCAGACAACTCTATGGGTTGTACCTCTCTGGTCTTCAAGGAAGTTCTGTGGCTTGTTTTGGCTTATGTGCTTCAGGGCATTAGGTCTTTGTTTGTTTGTTTGTTTCTTTCTTGGTAAAGCATGAGACTTTTCCTGTTGGACATAGATTTTTCTTGTGTTTAATGTATGTCACGGCCTCTTTTGTCGTGTGTGTGTGTGTGTGTGTGTGTGTGTGTGTGCAGCTGATTTGTAGTTCTCATTCTTTAGGTTGTGTACTTGTCTGGGAAAATATTGGCTTCTGGGTTTATATGCTGTGCTGACTATTGTGGGAAAGTCTGTTATTGTCTTTCTTGGGATTCTATCTTGGTCTGGTATTTTTCTCGGAAGTATTAAGGGCTTGTGGCATGGAAGGAGAGCTTTTGCTTTTGGTATTTCACTGTTGTCGCTCTGTTACCCTGAGTGGTGGCCAGGTGTGTAGAAAGTCCAAGTGTTTTGATGCTCCGCTCCCTCTACATGGTATGGATAAACTTGGGATCCACAGAGAGTACTCCAAAGGAGTTACCAGCAGGATGCTCTTTAACTAATTGGGGCAAGTTTAAGGGCCGTGGTTGAAAGAAATAGAGGCTCATCTTCTGCAGCACAGTTGGGCCTCAGTACAAGTTGAGAGATCAAAAATTTGACCAGAAAATGAGTCCTTTAGAGAATACCATTCTCTCGCTAGCTATATCCTGTTGGGTGGAACAGAAGTGGCAAGGAATCCCTTACACCAAGGCTTTTATGAAGCTATACCAAGAGCCTACGCTTGAAAACTCTTGTCAGGCTTATATAGCTGTAGTTTCCAACCCCCTAAGCCCACAGAGCATGATCCAGACATCCTAACAGACTCCTGTCTCTAACTGGCACCTTCTTAGCAGATGGTTGCCGATCGATCTACAGCACAGGGCCCTACCGCACCTAGCGTGGGGCCACCAGCTCTGTATCCTGAGCCAGCTGATAACTCCCATTCCCCTCCCCCTCTTCTGCCTCATCCAAGGCAGAGATCTTTTGGTCTCTGTCCTCGCTGACACCTACCCTAGCAATCCCAGTTCCTGATGGAATCGAGACTGGAAAGCAAACTAGTAGCACACTTGACTCTGGGGAATGTCTTCCTGTTATAGGAAGTGCCAGACAGGAATTGGGGAGTTATTAGAGCACTTGCTGCCTTAGTGATAGGTGTGGCTCAGTGAGAAGAAAGGTCTGGTTATTTTTCTGAGAATTCTCATATATTTAGGGATGAACGCACTAAACTAAGATTACTTTTGTTTGGACTTGAAGGATGTGATTTCAGCATTAGGTTATCATTGCTCTGCCAATGAGAAAGAACACTTTTTAAAAAACTGTTGGAGGGCTGGCAAGATAGCTCAGCTGACTAAGTGCTTGCTTAGGCAAGCGCAGGGACCAGTGTTCAATCCCCGACACCACAAGATAGTAAGTCCCTGATTTACAGAAGTGTTTCATTCCAGGAGAAACTGTCTCATTGCTATTTGTTTCTTAATAAAATGAATAAACAATTTAAGAAAAAAAATAAGTTGGGGGCTTACTGTATTTTTAACTTGCTCATTGGAGGCCTTCTAAAAGCACACTATCAGACCATAGTTGGTAGAGGGGAAAGCCTTAATGGCTACATATTTTCTAATACAGTCTGCCCCAGAGATTAGGAAGAAGTTACAAAAGCAGGGCCTTAGAGCCCACTGTCAATCTTGGTAGAAGGAGTCTTCAAACTATAACAACCAGAACAGGGATAAAAGGTTAGGGAAAGAGGCAAAAAGAGAAAAGGTTAGAGAAAGGACACAACTTTTAGCTGCTTTATTTCCACTGCTACCTCAGGGTAACCCACAAGGCCTTCAGAAATTTGGTCAGCAAAGATCGGATAGAAACTTGTGTGTGCATTATCTGAAAGAGGGTCACCAGAAAGATAATATGCTCTATACACTGAGTTTTGGTGTCGGTAAAAGCCATTGAAGACAAGAGCCATCTCTGTGCAGTAGCATTTAGTCATGTGCGTCACGGTCACGCTTTCTTGGTCCTTAGTTGATGTAAATACACTCAGGCTAAAAGTGAAGCAATGGAGGTCCAGCATGTGCTGTGTGTTTCTTCCTCTTTGCTCGCGCAGCCTTAGGGCTGTTTGGGGAGGATTTCTCTCCTCTGTCCTTAGCTGAGCAAAGCAGTTCTTGCTGCCAGACTCAGACCGGATGTGGGCACTCTCCGGGGAAGGGAAGCTCCCTTGCACACCCAGCGGAGTTGCAGATTCATCAACTGGTGAGGTCTGTGTATGTCTGGAGCCTATTAATACTTTGTTGTATATCTTCACTACAGTGTATATATTTTTTAAAAATTTTTATTTATTTATTTTTTAGGAGAGTAACAATGGTTAGTACATTGT